TCCCCACCATAGACACCTGCGGTCCAGAGTTTTGCAAATATCTCAGCAACGTTGTGGTTGTATTTCGCTTACTTAGTAACCTGCCATGAAAATTATAGAAGGCAGAAAACAAAACGTTAAACATTGTGATATCAGCCTATATTTTATATTCAAACAGTGGCTCACCTTACTTCTCGCTTTACTCTCGTGCACAGCAATGAGGAGACGCTACGATGTGTGGGGCCATGGGCCACTCGGTTTGCCAATACCTGTTCTTACGTACAGTTATCGGTTGGCACAGGCCGATCAGTTTGATAGCGGGCCTATGAGTACAGGGAAAAAAGGTGACTGATCTATCGCTGCCCCTCATTGACTCATTGTTCGGCTCACATTTTCAGTATTGCCTTAGTAAGGTAATTAGTGCAGGTTGGATGTGATAGTGCGTTCCAATGAGATCACCTACTTCTTCCTTCAGTTCATCGCGTTCTAAGCGCTGCACTACAGGGTGGCACATGTAGCGCAATCGTTAAAAGTGCTTCGTGATGCACATGATCCTTGTGTCCTCACAGTAGATGTGATGACATGTCATTTAAATGTAAATGTGAACGTGAAAACACTGTATCCCTGCGAAGCTTGGTGGACACAAATGCATGAAACATCCATTGGGTATGTCTCTTAGGAATAGAGCACCATGCGCTTTATCCTTCATCCTTTTATTCTACAGAAGAACAACATCATTATCAAACCAAAATATGGTCCATATTTTGCAAATTTTCACTATTTTTGTATGATAGTGCGTACAAAGACATTTGAATGTTCTAGATGGGCGACTGGCACAATACGATGTTCAAGGCTATCCCATTCAATCAAGGGCCGAGCTTCCCAAATTTTGCCAACATGCCCAGAGTACCTCAGGTATTTTGCCTTTAATGTAAATTGCTCATAAGCCTTTAGTGTGTTGTAGGATTTTTGGAAAGTTGCAGGCACCTTGTCTATGCAGTCCAGAGAACTGTGGCTCAGTGCAACAGAACAGCGTATATGATGCAACCAATCAGTACATTGAGCAAAGGAATGCTTACCAGCAGAATGGAACTCCATAAGCCAATCCGTATCAGCGCTACATTGGCCAGCAACCATATGAAAGTGGTAGTCAACATTCGTAGTTTAACAGACACAAATGAGACAAATGAGAAATTCAAGCAGAGGGAAACTCTTCCCTAATGATATGTAGATGTGCACTTACCTGTAAACTATTGTACTAACAATTGATAGATCGCCATCATTGTAGTACCACACGAAATCGCCTGCTACCGTTATGGATTCCTGTTTTATTTTTTGATCCGCTCTAAGTAGGTCTTCAGGTTCAAGTTATTAAAGCAGAACAGAATGCATTAGCTTTGACAATAGTTTTCACTTTCGCTTTTTTATATTCCTCTCTACTTTTCAAAGGCTATCTTTGACGACTCATCTTCGTCTGTTTGTATCCTTCCATAGTTCGCCCTTTCTTTACTTTTTGGACACATTGTTCTATGAGACGTCGATCTTTTTCCTTTGTTCTTCTTCTCCTGTGTTTTTTACCTCTCTATTCACCTCTTTCTCGAGATTACACCTTTTTCTACCTCAGAAAAGCTGACATTTTTCTTCATTAGGACGTTTAAGACCACTTCGACTTAGTACAGAAGTAGAACAAAGGTAAGTGGTACCTCCTTTCTCTCTATTTCTTGACCCGGTGAACATGAATTCATTTCACGTCGTTTAACTCTACTCTCTCTTTCCCTCTCTCACTCTGTCTCTTTTTCTGCCTCTCTTTCTCCCTCGTTTTATCCTCGTAGTTCTGCCGGTCGTATATTCCATCGTTTTATCTGTTGTACTATAACCATACAGTGGTAGAGATCGATGAACTGTTTAGTTTATTACCCTCTATGTCCTTTAATTACAACTACTGACAACCTTCATAACTGATGGTATTATCGAGAAAGATGCATTTAAAGAATGAGACCAGATATTTAATTAGCCGGTTGAGAAACTCTCAGCAGTACTAGTTGCTCTTGTTTCATACAAAGTCCGTTACTTGAAATAAGTCTTCCCATCACATTACTTTTCTGGTAGGCATAGCCAACAGACGGTGGTTTTAACATCACTTGATACAGCATTACCACCATCAGAACACTGCGAAGAACAAGCTCACGCTCGCAGAGGAATCCACAGCTTAGATGTTTGTGTTGAAACGTGAACACATGCAAGACGGTGTGAGTTTTATTTCCAGGTTGTTTAAGAATGTTCTCTCTTTCTCTCGTGTTTGTTCGCCAATAAAATTGCTGACTATTTCTGAGTTATGTTTCTAAAAAGGAGAAGGGTTAAGAAGACGACTATAAGCAATGGAAAAATTTCCATACTGGACGAATCATACATGATCGTTCATCCTCTCCAGGCAGTTTTCATAGCATGTACTTGAGCAAACTGGTTAGCCTGTAGTAGAACTCCGGTTTGAAAGCATTTACACGATAACAACGAATCCGCATGTGTGAGTGTGTGATCCATACCTCTGAGAGTTTATCCATTAGCACTAAATGGAATTTACCTATTTTTAGTAACAACAGCAGCTAATCGATATCTGGACTTAGAGTATGACGCCTTTTACGACTACGTTTTCAAGGCCCATACAACTGCAAATTGAACCACATGGTCGATGGAAAACGTTAACGAGACTTATTAAGCCTAATATTTCAATATTAAAGTGTCAATTCCCTCTCGTTAAACCACGGTTCAAATGATCAAGGCGTTGTTTCGTTGAAATTTCTTTTGTGGCAAACGTTTCGGCCTGGTCGAGAATTTCGTGCGATTTTCTACTCCACTCAACTCTCAGTACGACATTGAAGACGAACATATTGTAAAGGTCAGCTGCTATGGCATTGGAGTCCAATCAGTGTAGTTCTCAAGGAAGTGACCGTACCGAAATGCCCGTGAAAAATATTTAGTTCTAATATCGGGTAACCTTGTCAATTAAGCAACGACAAAAATTCAACATCGTAATGTCGACGTAGCCTAATAGCAAGCAGTGAATTTCGCTGCAACAATCCCTGATGAAATTTTTCACGATAGTACTATTTTATTACTCAACGTTGCTCGGTAGCTGTTGACAAGTGTCTGTGTGTCATATTTTTCCGCGTTCGAAAAAATAGATCGACAACAGAAACAGTCCAGTGGTATTAGTTTTCATTTTTGCTTTCTGCGTAATACAATTATTTCATGACTAAAATTCCACGGATCTCTCTCATAGAGGAAACTCTTACCGGCTAGTCGCGAGGCAACGTGGCGTGTCCTATGTGGAGGGATGGGAAGTGAAACGTGGACCAAAAGCGAGCTTATATTTCGCTGAGAAACATGTGGATCCACGAAATGGGCTCCTTGTTTTTGTTGCGTCGATTTGGCACATACCTTCTGCATTTACGAAAACGTATACATTCATTTGCGTGTAGATATGTTCTCGCTTATGCGGAATGTATTCTACGAGGCAATTAAGTCAAAAGCCTGAAATCTAGGGACAGAGAAGTAAATAGTAGCAGGTTTTTTTGGACGCTCAGCTCTCATCCCATCACGAAATTTTTGAAACCAGTGCTATAACATATAGCAAGGCCATGGGGCGGTATAGTCGTTTTCAAAAGAAGCTGCGCCTGGAGCTTCACGTCCAAGCCCGAATCCGTAGAGAAAATAGCCCAATGTTCTTCGTCTTTATAATAATGGCAAAGGGCGCATGTTGCATAGTGGTCGGTGGTGCCGTGCAATGCACATGGGATTGATCCCTGTACCCAAGACTAAAGCCTCCGGGGTCTGCAAATTGGTACCAGATTTGCTTTGGAGGATATCAGCACTGGCGTTATACATTAGTAGACCTTCGCGAGTCCTTGTAAAGGTCAGATATGCATTCAGTCACCTTCAACGATGATTGATGAAGTCGAATGCATGGCGCATCCTTCACGGAATGATCAATTCAGAAACCTTCATCCTTTTTATTATACTAATGGCAGGAGTTGAATCGGCGCAAAAAAATAACAACAGCAAACATCTGTGCTGTAAAAAAGGACCCGCATGGTGTGGTGGTGAACGCGTTACTCCCCGGAAAGGATAATAGCGCGTTCGTTCCCCACCATAGACACCTGCGGTCCAGAGTTTTGCAAATATCTCAGCAACGTTGTGGTTGTATTTCGCTTAGTAACCTGCCATGAAAATTATAGAAGGCAGAAAACAAAACGTTAAACAAAAAGGACATAATTCATACACTAAGAAAAAAATTTGCCGAAGATATTGATGACCGTATAGTTTACAAATGAACAACAAGAGAATGAAACTTTCACTTTTTTACTATTTTTGTTTTACATTACAAGGAATTTTCCACTGATAGGTACGCCTTTCTCACCCCAATCGATGGACTTCATTATCCACTGCTGTGTGGCACTAAACAGCTTTGGTGATACTGTGTTGCCCTGTCGAACCCCTTACCCTATGACTATGGTAAGAGATCGATGGAAGAGCTGTATTTTCGTAGTGCTGTTCCGATAACAGCCCAGAGCTGTTATGTAAGACCGGTCCACTCCTTGGTCTACGAGCGCTGATAAGATTGCATTTGTTTCGACACTGTCAAACGCTTTTTCGTAGTCGGCAAAGGTTAGGACCAGATATTCCTGACAAACTTCAGTGATCCTGGACATAGTTTGGATGTGGTCCATGAAGCGACATTCTTGTCGAAATCCTGCTTGGTCCACTGGTTGCGCCTCATCCAACGTTCTTGATTTGATCAGTAGCATAGTTTTCGTGAATTGCTCGAAAGACCGACTTTCTGTAAACTTCCGCATAGATAGTTAGTATATTTATTTATATAATCTTATAAACTGATCTTCTTAAGCTGACGCGAGGTTGGTACAGGTCTTTGTTGTCGTTGTCGTTGTTTTTGATGTTGTTGCTCGATGGCTGACGTTTCGGCGACTTCGCCTTCCTCAGAACCTGGACGTATTTAATATTAGAATGTTTTTATTATTTGGTAAAAAAAGGTTAAAGTATTAATGAGGATCAAACTTTCAAATAGATGCCATATTGAACAGAAAGGCCACTCACCGCTATGTAACGTGTAGGACTGGCCCACGCATTGTTTTCGTGGGGTATTAGTGACGAAGGTGGAGAGTTTGTAGTTATTCCTAGTCAGTTGGATATTAAAATAACAAAGGAGCACCTCAATAATGTTTCTCTCCATCGTGCATCCTCTGAAAAGGAATATAGAAGCCAATACCGGAGATCAAATCAAGAATGGGTCAGCACGGCAAAGGCCGCGGGTTTAGAGCCTTCAGTTATCACTCGACTTAAAAACGAACATCCAATTTGCCCTGTCCTTTACTTGCTTAGTAAAACACATAAGCTCACTTCAACTGATGATATTACATCAGCGAACCCATCATTCTTTAAAGTTAGACCTATCATCAGTTGTATAGGCGGGCCAACGGATAGAATAACGTGGTTCCTAAGCCTTATCCTAACCCAGCTGCTAAAATTCATTCCAACCCATCTACCTAACACCATACCAACGTGTCCAATGACTCCGCAATGCAAGTCATTCTCGAGTTGCTCGTATAGCACGAAAAAAAGTATAAATGTACAGCTTGTCGATTGCGCAACTAATAACTCTCTTAAAACAGTGTCTTAGTTGTTCAATCTTCAGGTGGTCTGGAAAATATTTTGCACAAATTAGAGAGCTGGCTATGGGACAGCGTTTAGCACCAAGCCTTGCCATCGCCTTCATGTCTAAGGTGGAAGCTCCAGTTCTCGATCACCGTCTCTTACTCTACTACTGTCGATACACAGTCGACTGCTTCATCGTCTGTTCCACACAAGAACAGATGGATGAGTGCTTTGAATTATTAAACCGACAGTCAGAGCATATAAAATTTACACGAGAAAAACTAACAGAAAACTGGATTCCATTCTTAAACACCCAAATAAAGCTCTAAGAAAGTGGCTATATAACAAAATGATATTGTAAGCCAAGTAGTAAAAACATTCTAGTTCGCTACCTCTCCTCTCATCCTTCACATATGAAAAAAGCACTTAT